TTCATGTCCTTGGGAAAATGCGTTCTAATGTCTTAAAAGTACATATTATAACGCATTTTTTCGTTGTTTTTACGGTAAAATGCGTAACTTTGAACGAGTAAAAATGTTGTTTTGTCACGGTTGCCTGACTAGGTTAAAAAATCTTCAAGTCCTTGGAGGAACGCGTTCTGATGTCTCAAAAGTACATATTATAACTCATTTTTTTTGTTGTTTTTTACGATAAAATGCGTGGCTATAAACGCGTAAAAATGGCGCTTTAGCACGCTTGTCTGACTAAGAAACTAAAACACTTAGTTAGTTAAAAAAACTTCTTCTATACACGTAAACATAGAAACAAGTTGTTTTATATTATCTCATCATGCAAATGAATACCTTAAAATGATCAATTGATAATAAATATTTCTTTTTGCTTAAAAAAAAAAGAAAATCTAGAAAAAAAAACAAATATCGGATTTGTATTTTTATTGGTTTTTTTTTTCACTGAACGAATTTTGATGTTAAAAATTCGTTATAACAGAAATAAAAATAAACAAATTTCTCTATATCAACAAACAAAAGAAAAACAATAATTGATGGTAAAATAATTGTTTGCTTGTTGTTGTTGAATTTGTTTAATAATTGATAACTTGATTTTTCTTCTTTTTTTCGGCACCCAATTCGAAATGTTTGGTACGTTTAATGGCTAATTGTTTCTTAAATTTACATTCCGTACATTCCATACGTAAAACGATTTTTTTTGTTGTTTTAGCTTTTTTATGAAAAACAGGTTTCTTTTGTCCACCATAACCTTTTTGTTTCATATCGTAACGTCGTTTACCTTGAGCATGGACACTATCTTTGCCTTTTTTGTATTGTGATACTTTATGTAAAGTATGTTTTTTGCAATTTTTTCCTTTGCAAAATGTACGACGTGTTTTTGGTACGTTGACCATTTTGTTTCTTAAATGTCAATCTAGAAAAATTCATTAAACGTATAGATATACACACATATATATATATATATACACACAAATATTTCGGATAAATAAAAACGAATAGAACAAGCAAATAAATATACAAGACTAAAAGCGTACTCATACAAAATATGTAAGCAGATCTAAAAAATTAATTAATTTGAGATTCTTTTCTATTTGCTGGACATAGGACCCGGTGCTGGTAATTGTTGAAGAACATTATCTAACCATTGCATTGGACCATTTAAATGAATTTCTACCCAACATGGTGTACTCATAATTGTACGTCGTCTAGAAAATATTTTCAAATGAATAATATAATTATTTTGAAAATTTTGACTTACCGATATTCTTCTCCCCAACCTTTAACAAAACTCATACGAATAGAACATATTCGTGTAAGATTGTAAACAGCTTCATTACCATGTTGAATTGTATCCCGTAACATTTGGGCAAATTCAGAATTACTAAAGATCTTTAAATTACAACCTAAAATAATAATAGATTTATTAAATATATGTCACGTAGATAAAAATAGTTCAAGTGTGAATCAATCATAGGCATGACAAAGCATGTCTATTATAAAAATAATATATGGGATTTATACACAGGACAAATTAACCTTGAAACTAGGCATTAATAAGTAAAAACAAAATCTATAATTTTATAAATATTCTGCTTTAACAGTGAAAAATGATCCTGCCGGCGGAAATAATAAGCATGAAATATAGGGTAGACTCTGGCAACTCTTACCACACTTAGTATAATTATATAGATATCTGGATATAAATATATATAGAAAACACAGAAATTTTGGATTATTCCGTCATGAATTCTAGGGTTACTGTTGATATTTGTATAGGATATTTTAACTGTAGATACTGTAATAGAATCTCAGCCTGCTTTCAGGGAAATTACATAACACTTTCGGGCTATTATACTTATCAAATAGAAATCTTGAACGAAATCTTACGTGGTGGAATTTTACAAACAGTGGCTGGGTGCCATTGAAAACGTTGATTACAACATGGACTTTGAACAAATATTGGTGATTCAGATAGACATTCAGCAAAAACTTCTCCTCCAATATAATAAAGTCGAACACCATGACCAATCATTCTCCTGCATGCTTCACTTTCTGAAGTTCGATTAACATTTGTTAATGAACCAAGACAAAATCGATCAGATGCATTTGGATCACAATATCCATCAATAACAAGTGAATTTAATGATGCATGAAATGTTTCGCCAACACGTTGATTTAATTCATAATAAACAATTGAACACCAACATGGTGTATCAACAAAAGATATTGCGGTTGTTGGAATATTCACTGTTGTTGGTGTTGGCGTCATTGCTTCAAAATTTTCTTGTACACTTGCTGGACTATTTACAGCTGTACGTTGTTGATCAGATATTGGTGTTAAACAATCCATGGATACAGTTGAATCTGGTTGAAAACGTTCACTTTTTGTAGAATCAAATACAGCTCGATCTGACACAGGTATATAAACCGGTGGAATAACTAAATATTAAATGAAAATAATTAAATATATAGAATAAAATTTTTTTTTGTCTTACATGGTGCAATAACACGTTCATAATGATAAGGATTCACACATATCTGATCTTTTTCCTGTTGAAATGCATATACACATGTACTAATAGGACGTAATTCTAAATGAGTATTTAAATCTGGCCAACGCCATATACGACAAAATGCAATAACAGGTGTTATATCATGAAATGCTTTTCGCACTGTTGTCGATGGATTTGGTTCAACTAATTTATTTTGTGCATCTCTAAATAAAACCACAAAAATAAAATAAAATTTTTTTTTTGTTCAAAAATTATTTTTTACCTTGGTATTGTAACACAACGTGTTTGTGGATTTTTTGTATCTAATGCTAATTGTAAATCATCAATCATTGATGATTTAGTTAAACGTTTAATTAAACCTTTAATGGCCTTTTCGGACCATTTATCATCATTAGAATTTGTTTGAATATTTAATCGATGTTGTAATAAATTTTTAAATGTTTGTGGATTTGTTGAAAACGAAAAAGGTAAATTAAATAAATTACTCATTATTCTAATGATAATCGGAGAAAATGAATTAGTTACATAGGCATTTTGAAATGATTCGTTATGTTGACCTCTAATTGTTTGTTTTTCTTGTTAGAAATAGAACGAAAAAATTTTTCGAAAAAAATTCATTTATTTAAAAATCAATTTCATTTTAAAGATTTTCTTTTTAATTTTAATCTGATTGTTTTATAAAGGAGGATGTGATAGAGAATGATTTTTATTGGCGAAATACAGTAACCAATGAATAAATGACTTGAAGACAAAAAGAAACAATAAAAGATCGAAACTTTTATACAGCTTTTTTACCCTGGTAAATAATCGATAAATTCAATCTTTGATCTTAATTTGAGATAAGCTAATAGATTTTAACATTGAAAAGAAAGAAAAATTAAACAATTATTAGCAAAACAAACGCATAAATCTAAATTTGATACCATAGACTGACTGAACAGCAGTCGATTTTCTAGCAAAAAACGGGTTTGATGAATCTAATAGACAATATATTGTAATCAGCTATATCACGAATATTTTAAGATCGGGAGATGAAATCTCTCGGTTCACGGCAGCCATGTCTAGGTAGTTCAGGCCTGAGTATTCAGTTGACACTCGAACTTTGGAGGGAGTGAGGAGCAATCATTCTCACCCTGGTTTGCAACAACAAAAGTTACGCTGATATCTCCTGGAAAATACAGTTGTTTCAAATAATTCTATTAATATTTTTTTTCACAAATTATATCTCTTACGATTTTACAAGACAATGATTATGAATTTTTCAATTATATTAGTTTTAAAAAAGAGTTAATAAATATTTGTACGCTATAGTAAATTTGATTGTTATATAAAAATATTTGTTTTTCATTTGCATAGATATTTATTTAGGATTATATTCTAAGATAGTTTTGTGATACAATGCATAACAAAGAAAATGTTATTTAAATAAGAATCAATTCATATTTATTATTTGTTCAATTGAAAGTGGAACAAAAACATTTTTTTCCTCACTTTTTTTGAATAATAGCTGTTTTTTTATTGATATAAACAGTATGATTGAGTTTTCTTCTTAAAAGAAAGTTTCATTTACAATTATTTCACTAAGGCAAACACTGGATCAATGATATCCTAAATCAATAATGATTTATTTTTCAATAAATATATATATTTGACATTATTCGTACTGGATAAAAAACTAAAGCTTTCTCTTAATGTTCATCGAAGGAAAAACTCTTTTACTCATAATATAAATTCATTTATCAGGCAATTCTTTTTTTTGATGTCTGAATGAAAAATAAATGTTTAACGCAGTTCTGAGTTAACAGTAACTGCTAGTTATTTCGGTGTTGTCAAGAAACCCGGAAAAATTTTACTTGAAGCTTATTAATCATAGAAGACACAAAAAGCAAAAGGGTGGATATATTAGACAGAATCTGATAAGCTTAGTTCTTCGAAGCCACCAGTAGTGAGGGTCCGCCGAGAAGCTCGGCACGATCGATGTCGTCGTTGTAGCAGCGGGTGTTCAGGGTGTGAATATGATGTGGGTGGGTGAGGGTGAGTGTAGGTGTGGATGTATAGGTATAGACTACTTTTCTTCTACATCAACACCCACACTCATTTCACAAAACTTTTCGAGATGGTTTGTTTCTTTTCCGGATTACTTGACATATTTGTTATTCCTTTTGCTCCTACTCCACTACGTTTCGATAACGCACAAAGTTTGATGATCGATATGATTAGTTTTGTATTAGAGAAATTTTAGTAACCTACATGATTCAAATTAATATTAAGAATCTAATAATTGTTATATCTGTAGTGCTCATATTGACGCATAATCAAAAGATTCAGTAAAACAAATAGGACGATCGATTGATATATAAATATGCGTATAATTTTATTATTCTATTAATTCGATGTCTGACATTAAAAGAAAAAGACAGAAAGAAAGGAATATTTTTCAATACAAATTATCCTATTATTTTATTTACTAAGACAAAAAAGAAAAGAAAAGAACTTCGAATTATATCTAAAAGAAAATCGAAGGAAATAATGATGTTAGTAGAATTTTCACCGTAATATTAAAGAGATTTATTATGGCTGACTGAGGAGTATCAATACACATATACACACACACACATATATATATATGTGCATATATATATATGAAAGACTAGAGAGAGAGAAAGAAAAGAATTAATTGTTCGACATTAATAATTGTTTAATACGCATTTGAAATACAACATATTGTTTATGATAATTTCTTGCTAATTTTAATGCTTGTTTAGCATCATTTTGTCTAACAAGACGTGTAAAATAATATCCAATGCAATCATCATTATCAATATTTATTGTTGATACTTGCATAATTGATGAACGATTTTGTTCAAGTAAAGCTATACAAAGAAATATTGTAAACATATCTGAATAATCATATTCATTATCAATATTTGAAAATTTTTTTAACCATTTTTCTAATGGTATACATGATGTTATTGTTATATTATCTTGTTGAGAATAATTTATATTTAAATCGCCTATTGTTGAAATTTGTTCATCACGATAACCAGAATCACAACCATCAATACTTGAATGTTCCGATTGATTTTCTTCAGCAATTGATGAATATGAATGTGAAGATAATATTGTATTTGTTATTGATGATATCATTGATATATGACGATATGAACATATTGATGATGGACATAGATCATCAACATCTGAATAAGTATTATTATTTAATTCAAATCGATCAAGTGGTAATGATGCCCATAGAGTTTCAAATACAGAACATATATCTTTGAATGGAAATTCACGTTTACAATCTAATAATAACCAACGATATGCAAACATTAAATTACCTAAAATATAAAATATTTAATTTAATTATTTTTTTAAAAAATATGTTACAAACTAATATCACATTGTTCAATTTTATTCCACAGTTCAATATCAATAGCTTGAATAGTTTTTCTTAATAAATCTAAACGACGATTTATTGCAATACCATCCGAATGAAATAATGGTGTCATATAACGCATTAATGCACAAAAACATGCATATGCTAATGCTTCATCACGTATAACATATAAAATGGGTGCTGCCATATCTGTCATACCTATAGACAAAAAAGATCTAGTGGTTGTTTTTTTTAAAGGAAAAATTTAATTAACCTTGTGCATAACCAGGTTCAGGATGATAAACACAATAAGTCATAAGAATATGTTGTAATTTTTGTCGAGATAAATTCTTTTTATTACCAAAAAATTTTACTGAACTATCAGTACGTGTTACATCTTTTTGTATTAAATTTTCTAATATCATTATTTCCGATTCTTGTTTACTTTGCCAAGCTTGTTTCATCCTAGAAAAGTATTCATCATTATCGAACATAAAGAAATTAGAAGGCAAATCTTTAAGAAGTACCATCGTGTACTATAAATAATTGAGAAAAAAAGACGAGGTGTCAGACTGAATCATAAATGATTCTACATTTCAAAACTTTACTCATAACTGTGGGTAAAATAGCTACTGGAAATAGTATCAAAATTGACAATTAAAACAATGTTTTTCGGAGAATGCATATTTTTTGAAAGTATGGGTTCTGTCGAAGTTCCTCATAAGATAAAAATAGGTTAAAGAAAAGGATTGATATTTTAGTGACGAAAGGTCAAGGATGTACTGGCAAAATTTCGGCACTGGCGAAAGTGCAATCTGCTGAAAGTCTTATTGAGGAACATCTGGAGCAGTGTTTTATCTAGCGAGGGCGGGGTGGGGAGGCATTTTGCACTTCCGACGACTGCATTTGCCTTCCCGAGATGTACGATTTTGCGCCCTGTAATATGAATTTACCCCAAGGAGAAAACAGCTGATTATTGATTAGGAAGAGGATTAGCTGCACTTCTAATCAACCCTAATCAACAATCAGCTGTTTTCCCCCTGATGTTCCCCCTCCCCTGGAGATCGTTTTTGACCCCTCGAAAATCAAACCCTGGATAAGATACTGATTCGAAGAAAGAGAATTAACATACTCATTGTATCGTTCTTTTGCTTTAATTGTATACTGAATTTTATCTTCATTTGTCATTGTTTGATTAAATATACGAAATAAATAACACCAAACAATTTTACGTATGGATTGTTCACAACCATTATCATATATACGTTGTCGTAATAAATCTTCATTTAATAAACGACCCGTTGATGAATCTAACATTTGAAAAAATTCTTTTTTTGTTAAATAATTATTTAATAATGTATTAACTGAACCATGTAACCAATTTGTTGCTTTTTGTAATAATGTTTCATGGCGATTACAAATCGATTTAATTGTAACTAATGTACAATGATTATCAATTTCAATTAATTCAAAATTATCCGTAGTATCATCTTCTATAATACACCAATCATCAATATCATATTGATTAACAATAAATTCTAAATTATGTTCATCTGTTTGATTCATAATACAACCATCAAGATCAAAATCATCTGTGATAATTAAATTTTGTTTTGTATGTAACGTAAAATTTGAATATAAATTAAATGCTCGATTTACCAAACGAATAAGAAATGAATACGATAATAATGGAAGATTAACAGAAAATGTCTTTCGTGTTTGACATACATTAGATTTATACAACTAAAAGAATTCATTGAAAAAATTTCGTTTTAATAATTATTCTTATTTTATACCGATATAACAAAAATTACGATATTTGATAAATATAAATCTCGTTGTATGTGTTGACAATTATGTTTTGATGTAAAAGTTGATGTCACCTATAAATAGAAACAAAGTCAGTTATTTTCATAGTATAAAAAGAATGAGAATTTATTCAAATATAATAGCATAGGATGTGTTATCCCTCCGTTGATGTTGTGAGGTCTAAGAGGATCCACTTCACGGCTCTTTACGTAGTTCTCTCTTAAGAGTTTCTGTTTCCGATGGATTCTCGCATCTAATCTCTAGTCTTTTGTTAGTACACGCTACCCATATTAGAAATCATGAGTAGATCTAACGGAGAAAAAATGCAGCTACGGGTCCTTGTGGATCCCTCAACAACTATGATGCTATAATCTTATTTTAAATAGTGATATTGATGCCATTTATTCTCTCGCGGTGTTGTTTCCTTTCTAAAGATTTGTTTTCATCTTCGCTACTTATAATAATGACTTACATTTAGTAAGAAAAAGCGTAAAATTTGTCATTTTCGAAAGACTCTACTCAATCCTTATTTTTACTACGGAACGCTCTTACAGCGCTTAGCACGAAATGCGTTCATATCCTTATAAATTTGAAGCATCTATATCTTTATGGTATATAAATGAAAAGCTTTAATGGCGCTAAAACTTTGTTTTTTGATGAAATTTCATGGGTGGATCTAGATGGACCCCGAAACAACCACGAAGGGTTATGTCATATTACAAAGTGTCTAAACGAAAGTGGTGCGAACTTTTTTTTACCATTAAACTCTTTTAGATGATAAATTTATATAGAATTATCGTATTCTTACCATCTTTGATTTAACAAAAAGAAAGTATTGTACTAAATTAACTTTTAACACGTTCTCTAATAAGATAAATCAGATTAAGTTTTCGATCTATGTATGCTAATTAATCTGTTGTAGTAGACTTTTAAGGTTCTATAGAATTTATTACAATACAACTTTTATTTGAAGGTTCATTAGTATATAGATCTAATTTTACATCATCAAATTTTTCGATATATAAAAGTATTTCTAGGTTTAAACTACTTATTATAATATTTTACTTAATTCTAATTGGCTGAATTGTATTTAGTTGTCATTTACAACAAAAAGAAGAAGACGAATGTGTCTGTCTATATTTGAAACTTTGTTTTACTAGAACAAAGGAATATAGAAGAAGATGTGTAACAAAGAATAATAGACAGTCGTCATTATGTCAAGTATTATATGTTGGTTAATTAAGTATCTACTTGAGTATTATCAATCACATTATGTTTGAACGAGCCCCTACTGATACGGTCAATTTCTCTTTTAATAAACGTATAAAATATTACCTCATCATTACTATGACATCTACAACGATCATCTGTAATTAACGATGAATATGATGAATCCATTTGTATTTCATTAGTTGACAACATACTTTAGTGAATATAATATGTACACTGGAAAAATAACATAGCTCTCAATTTCAAAAACAAATAGATGATGATTTCTTCTATCGTAGTTGACCCACGAACAGAACGTATCAGACGGTGTATTACTGCTTTCGTTATGTTCTATGTATTCTTTTTTTCGTTGCATTTTATATCGTCAGATTTTTTTCTTCACCGTCCATTCTGCATCATCATTCGTATATTTGCCATGGTTATCTGAATATATGTGTATTCAAACTATTCAGAGAAGGGGTCAAGTACATGAGGAATGAATAATATACAGAAGAAAGCGAAGAAGGGAAGAAAAAGAAAAAAGAAAATTTCAACACATCTGTTTGATATACCTGTATTATCTTATCACCTATCTTCTTCTTGTTTTTTCAAGGTTAAAAGAAGCTGCAAAATAAAATAACACTAGGTTACGTACTTAACTTAGTTATTCTATTGAAATAACTCTTCAATGTTAAATATGATAAACTTGTTTATGTGTTTATTGATAACAAATGATATTGAAGTTATGGTAAATAAGAAAAAGATTACTGGATAATTCTATTAAGATCAAAAAGACTTGAATTGTACACTAAATATAATATTAATACTCAATATTTTATCTAATGTTTCATGCATCAGATATTATTTAAAACTGAAAATTTATAAAATATTTCGTTCAATTTTGTTTATTCTCTTGGAATACATCCAATTGACCTACATTTATTTGCACTAATGTGTTACACTTTATATATGCTCTTTCTTTCTCTCTCTCTCGCTTAGATTGACGCTAAATTTCATACAGTTTTCTTCTTATTTATTTTTAATAAATGAAATAAAAAAGGACGAGGAGTGGTTTGATCATCACAGGAGGAGTGAAATGATCACCTCATTAGAAAAAAACAGTTTAAAAATAATCAAATAGAATAAGAAGAGGTGATTTGGCACACGAATTTTTATTTTTGTGTTATTTTGCTAATTGTTTTTTTTTATTTTTAATGATAGAAAACTTTTTTGAGTAGAAAATATCTAGTAAAAATATTGCTTCACCGCTTGGTGTTTTTAATTTCTAAAAATCTCTTCTGATAAAGTTTTAGTGAGACTGACTAATAGCTTTGCCAAATTACCCCGCATGCGGTGTTTCGGCAATCAATGTAAGTATGCGAGGTGATTTGGCAATCCAATGTATTTTACTGATAAACAATAAAATCTAATTTACTAAGCTATTTTAAATCATTTTTTTAAAAGTATACCATTCGATAGCCCAAACATTTCTCTACACACCTATACTAATCTTTGTTTCCACGTTTTTACCACATCCAGGTATAATCATTTACAAAAAGATCTCTAAAAAGAAAAGTTGTGTTAAATCGCTCCTTCTTACTATATTTGATTATTTTTAAACTGTTTTTTTTTGTAATTTGGTGATCATTTCTCTCTTTTCGTGGTGATCAAAAGATATTTCTCTCAATAAAAAAAAAGTCTATTCGATTTTATATCACACAGTGCAAAATACTAAGTTTATCAGATCCAAGTGATCAATATTAATAACAAGAGAAAAGCACACACACATATGTAAAAAAATTTATGGTTTTTTATTATTTTCTATTCGTCGAATTTGATCAATAAGATTTCTATTACGTATTTTTATTTGATATATAAGATTTTCATAATAGATTTGTCGTTCTTCAACTTGTTCGGATGTTCGTTGAAGTAAATCATATAAACGATAAACATATAAACGAAGAGTTTTTTCACGTTGGATTAATTCATTTGATGAATCTTCGGATGATATATTAGTTACATTATTTAATTGAAAATATTTGTTTGTTAATTCTAAAACAGCAACTTTACTTTTATAAGATTTTTTTTCACGTAATAAACGATCATTTGTCCAACGTAATTCATTATTTTCATGTTTTAATGTTAATAAATCAACAAGTAATACAGATATTTCAAGATCAGCTACATCAACAACACCCGATACGTTTGCTGGTGGATGAAATTGTTCTCGAGAATAAGAATATAATTGTGCACGTTTTGGTAATTGGGATACTTGTCGTTGACATTGTTCATGTAACACAGATATCGTACGAAAAATTTCTCTACAAACAAAATACATATAATGAGAATCAAAAGTTGAAGACATCTTTTTTTTTTGTTCAAAAGGATTTGAATAATACACTTTATTTCATAATTTTATCGAGGAGCTCTATGATGAAAGTCTCTAAAAAAGATGGGAGTGGGTCGCCGCGTTTTTTCTTGAAAAATTACAGAGGTCAAAAAAACGTGAATCTCCTTAAAAAATTGCTGAAAAACGATTTATTTTCGCTTTTTTGTACCCGCTATAAATCTGTAAGGGAAAACGCGACGATCCTTCACCTTCTTCACAATTATATACCATTGTCAGAAATGCATTTACATAAAGTTTTAAAAATTTGACTACCGGATTTTTGGAGACTTTCACTATGAAACCCATTGATAAAACTATGAGATATTGTGCGATAGATTAAACACTCCCTTAATTACTCAAATCATTTTTTCAGCAAAAAAAAAGATTTCGTAACTTTTTACCGCAAGAATATGTAATTTCAAAATTCGCACAAGTTACTATTACATGTTTCTTATTCTCAGTAGATTTAAGTCTGTAGAAAAAAATTATTTTGACAATAAATTTTTACGCGTATGATACCAAGCCTCTGTGGCGAAGCGGATTAACGCGTTGGACTTCTAATCCAAAGATCGTGGGTTCGATCCCCACCAGAGGTGGTTGAATACTATATTTTTTTTCTTTTCATTTCTCTATACCTTTCATATAGACACGCAAAACTTACTCATTTTCTTCACCATAATTTATTCGTGTGTTTACATTATCATTAAGTTTTTGATAAACATGTTTTTCATGATTATTAATCGTAAGTTTTCGTTTATCAGATGTTATTTGAAAACGATCAATTAATTCTTGTAATGTTTTTATAAGTTCATATTGAATTTGTATACAATGTTCATATTCAATTAAATATTGTTCATATTGATTAAATAAAACATATTGTTTTTCATATGAATATTTACAATCAGCTAAAAGACGTTGTAAAAAATCATTTTCACTTTTTAATTGTTCATTATATGAACATATAGATAAATATTCTAATTGAATTTGATTACGTATAAATGTTTGATAACATGAACATTTCGAACAATTTGAACATAATTGTTGATATAAATAAACAAAATGTTCTTGTACAACTGATGAATAATTTATATCTGATGTTGATGTTTCAGCTAAACGACGACGAAATGTTGGTGTTGTTAATGATGAACTTAATATACTATTATTTGGTGACCAGATTGAATAGCATGATGTTGTCTATAAGATGAAAGATAAAAATGAATGTCATAAATAAGATTTTTCTTGTTTTTTTATTATGAGTTAGTTGTAATTGTTAGCAAACTACACGCACAAGCTGCGTCTATTTACGTCATGAGAATAATTCTCACATCAGCCATGCTACGATCGCTTGCAAACGAACGATTGTATCGAATACTAAGTGTACTATCAGGATCATTATCATTTGGTTGTTTATTCAAATTTCGTTTTAATACATTAATTTGTTTATTAGCATTAAAAAGTTCTTTGGAATTTTCATTTAGTTTTTGTGTTATAAACGTTTTTAAAGTTAATAGATCATTATGAAGTTTTGCTAATCGAATAGTATGAGACTAGAATAAAAATAAAAGAAATTATTTTCCTGTAATATACGTAGCGTGAGCGGTGTGAGATGAAGGTGAGATCGACAACCCGCATCCGCACTCACAACCTGCATCCGCACCCACACTCTGCATCCACAACCCTCATCCGCACCCACAACCTTCATCCGCACTTATAACCCGCATTCGCACCCTGTATCCGCATCCACACCCACCCATTCCTACCGATTTCTTTGCAATGATAAGTAATTCTTCAGCAATACCATCAAAATGTGTGTTAATATTTGAAAGTTCATCTTCTCTTGGTTCAACATATATATTATCATCATCAGGTTTTTCATATAAATCTGTTTTAAAATAAGTAGATATGTAGATTTTGAAGAGTTACTTATTAATCTCACCATTTTTTGTTGATCGAAAAGATTTTCTTTTTAATTTAGAAAATTTTCGACGTAATCTTTCCATAATCTAGAAAATAATTTTTTAATTTGATTGATTCAAATGACAAGAGAATTTATTTAATTTAAAAAAGAAAAGAAAAATTTATTAATCAATAAATGACATTGGAACATCTTTTATATTTTTTATCAAAGAATTTTTCTACTTGATCAAAACAATTGCATGTTGGTTTCTAATAAAAAGAAAATAAAAATATTTTCAAAAACTACATTGAAAACCTACTAATAACGTATAAAAACGATGAGAAAATAATCGAATTTCTTATCATTTTACTATTCGTTGATTTTTTATTGATTCTAAATGATTTTTTAATTGTTGAATTTCTGAATTATTCTTATGAATCAATGGTGGTGCACTTGTATTTCGTTGTTTTCTATTAATAAAATAAAAATTTCATTTTTCTTTTATTCAAATCCTATTACTTGACAATGGTTTGTGTTGTTAATCCATTCTTATGTTTATTTATAGACTGAACTGTATTTGTTAGTAATTTTTCTTTGATTTGTTTGTCTTTGATTATTTGATCACGTCGTGATTCACGTTCTTTTTCACGTTCAAATTTAATCAGTTCAAGACGTTCACGTAATTCATTCATTGACATCTCATCATGTACACCATGTCCAACTATTGATGTAAGATCAACTGGTTTCGATCGATCAATTGGTATCGATTCAATAGCACGAATCTGTTGAATTAATTCCATACGCTGTCGCATTTCTATTTCAGCCTAAAGAAACACGAATTTAATGCAAGTATTCTTCGTCACGACTCTTTCATATTCAGAATATGAGCATACATATATTAAAACTTCAACTTGAAAATATAGCCTATTGGAATAGCGGTTGATCATATATCACTACACTACTAATTTTGTTATAGGACTACTACATTTGATTTTTATCTTACATCGCAAAGTAAATATACTTCAATAAAATAAAAGATTTCTCGGTAAGTCATTACTACAGTTTCTTATTACATCATGAAAAAAAAAGTGAACTTGAGTGATTTTTTAATTGTATATTTATTCGTCTTTGAAGATATATTTCTGTTAGTATGTATAATTATAGAGACTACTTTCAAGTATGAACACTCACGAACATTGTAAACTCAGAGATGAGCAACTCCGTGGATAAGCAACTCAAACTTCAGATAAAGAAGCGTCAACTCCGGAGTTGAAGTTGCTCATCTCTGATGGATATTTTTTGTTGTTTTCTTACACGTCATGAGATCCACCGGAGTTGAATCGGAGTTGGAAAAAAGCACCAACTCCAACTCCACTCTATCTCGTTTTTCACAACTCCACTCCAACTCCAAATAAAAAAGCGTCAACTCCGGAGTTGGAGTTGCCCATCTCTGATTATAAACCTCATTCAAATAATCTAAATTTCAAAGTGCTATTGATCGAATGAGCGAAAATCATACACCGAGATCAACTATTTTTCTAACCTCTTCAAGTGTTTGTTTCATTAATTGTTTTGTATCTTCTTTATATTGTTTAACAAAATCAGTTTTATATTGTTGAAGTTTTTGTTGAGCTAATTTCGTATTATCTCTTCCATTGATAATTTCTTCAATTAATTGTCTAATAAAAAAATTAAAGTAAAGGAAAATCTTTGAAAATAAATTTACTTCATTTTTTGTTCTTCTTTAAGTTTTTCTTTAACATGAAATTCAATTGTTTCACGTGTTTGACGTTTAAGTTCATTAGCTATCTGTCGATTTTCATTTGTTAGACGTTGTTTAGCAAGAATAGCTTCTTCATAACTTATTTTTCCTTCTAATTTTTTACGTTCAATAGTATTTAGTTTTTGTTCATAATCTTGTTGTTGCATTGTTTGTTGCCATTGAAGAAATTCATGTGCATCTTTACCACCAGCTTCAAGATAATCTAATCGTCGATGAATATCATCTTCTTGTTTTTTATATAATTGATTTTCTTTAAGTACTGTAGCTAAATTTAATTTAACTGGGATCTTATTTGTCTAAAATTTTAAATATAAGACTTTTTTCTATAATTCAAATCAAGAAAAATTTACTTGAAAATTTGGTAATGGTTTAGCTCGAAAATGAGTTTGACTTGATTTTTCTATTGCAGATATCGCTCGTCTTTGATTAGGTTTATTTTCATGAAGTTTTCTTAATTTAATTTGTTCTTGCGATTTCAATCGACAGTCTTCTACTTTTACTGTCTAAAAATTCGTAAAATATATTCAAAAAGCAAATTTATTGAATGACAATCTCACATCTTTTGAAATAGATGTTGTTCGTGGTTTAGGTATTGTAAGATTAAATGATTTAAATTTAATTGGTTCTGATGATAATGGACGTTCTTTAAGTTTCTTTGAAAGTTCACGTAAATCAGGAAGATATCTATTTTAAAAACAATACAATATATAATGATAGTTAATTTAACATACCTGTGAATAACACGAATAATTTTTTCATTGATATATTCTTCTTCATATAATTTCAGACATTCAGCTTTAATTGTTAAAAGATGAGTTTCACTTAGAAGAAATTGTAATAACTGAAAGAAATTTTACACATAGTTTTAGAGTGAGAGTGTGGGTGGGTCAAGTTAAGTGAGCTCCAAATTTGAAGTTTACGAGTTTCAAGTTTTTCGACCAATTGCAGCTTATAACTGTGTGCTTTTTTTTTCTTCAGCATCACCAGTCGACTCAGCACAGTCCAGAGTATCCATTAGAGCGATAAAAAACAGATAATTACAGTTTTCAGGTAGAGTTTTTCGCGACAACTTAGACATTCGTAAACTCCAAATTTAGAACGCACTCAGCTAGACCATGTGGGTGTCATTATTGGTTTCTTCATTAGCCAAACTTACACACCCATCTCCTATGACAGTCCCCCCTCTAAAAAAATGCCTGGTTATGTCAATGTATGCTTACTTGATATATCTGTTGAGATTTAATTGAATCAATAAATCCTCGGAAGAATGGCAATCCAACTAAATCCAATTGAAAAAAGATAATGTAAATAATAACTAAAATCGAATCTTTTTTTTTTAAATCAAAATATTTTGTATTAAATTAAAAACCTTTATAAATATTTTCATCAGATTTTCGTAGATGTATATCATCTGTTTTATAAAAAACTTCGATTATTATTTTAAGTAATGGTGAATGACGAATACAATCAGTTAATACTATCGATACAAATGATTGATCTAATACCTATAAACAAATTTATTTAATTTTAAAGCAAAAAAATAAAAACGAATACTTTATTTAATTGAAAATATTCTTCTAAGAATATTTTCTCAGATTTTGTATCATTATATTCATTCAATACTCGTACACAATGATGGAATAAATCATTATATTCATTTATCGTTTTGTTCATATTCTATACAGTTCAATTAATCTCACCATAATCAATATATTCACTATGACAGCCAATCGAATTTATTTCATTGGTACTAATCTTATCCAATAAGATTATTGAGTAGTTTCACACTATTCTTCTCTTTCTTTTTTTCTGCATTTACAAGGTCAAATGTTGATGAATATTCTTTTTGTTTTATTTATTTTCCTAATCTCAAATTCATATTCATATAATACAAATCCAACATCATATTTATGTACAGATTCATTAACTGAAATACCACAAAAATTACCATCATGTTTACCCGGTTATATTATTGATATTGAGAATGTTTTCTATGAATCAACTGTTGATAATTCTTGTTCTGGTACAACATTATGTCGTGTAGAGAATAAAAATAGTCTTCAATTTGCATGTAATCGTAAACGAAGATGTAATGTTAATATAGATAATTTACGTTTTTATATTAATTCAACATGTGGTACAACAGTAAGATTTTATACGAAATATCGTTGTTTACCTGTTATACAAGAACAAAATGATCATTTATGTGAACCATTATCATCATCAAGACGTCTTGCATTAGGTGATATTAAATTAGAATGTCAAAGAAATTATCGTTTACATATAACATCAGCATTAATTGGTATTAGTATAAAAAAACAAGATGAATTAACAAAAAATCATTTTAAATGTAATAAAGATACACAAACAGTTTGTAATTCATATGTACCAAATGCTTATCGAGATGTTTGTGATAATCCATTAAGACCAACTTATGATGATCATTGTACAATAAAATATAATGAAAGACCAGCATTAAAAGATTGTCCATATGGAATGGCATCAAATTTTTCATTGGTAGAATATCTATGTATTCCAGGTAAAATTATTATATATTACTTTAAATACATAATATAGAATTTCAGAATAAACTTGATTATAAATTCGTCTATAATCTGATTATTCAAAAACAAAAAGAATATGATCTTATCTTTCAACAACTTTGTATATATTAAATGAAACCTTAAAAGGATGATACTTGATCTCTCATTAAAATAACTGACATATTTGAAGTATTTCTATTTTCTTTGGGATAGTCTAAACAATTGATTATAAAATACCCCTAGAGGAGTAACGAATAAATGTGTTACTGTCAACATATTTTTTCTATAATTTCTAAACAACTGACATAAGTAATGTATTTATTCGGAAAAGAAATTAGTCATATCAAGATGAAACTATTTTCATTATGAATTTTTTTTATAATATATACAATGTTTTTATCTAGGTTATGGTATTACAGAAGATCTACCTCGATTTGATATTTGTTCGAATGAAATTCCACAACGTATACCGAATGATCGAGGTTTATTACATTCACCTAATTATCCTCAAGACGTTGCTCAATATCTTTCATGTAATAAACAATTATATGTACCACGTCAATCACGATTACGTTTATTTATGCTTGAAAAATCAATTGAATATTCTCATGTATTAAATATCAATTTATTAAATAATATTCGTACATTAGCTGTCAATGAATTACTTGATATAAATATAACACAGCGTAATGATGAAATAGCGCAATTTGAATTAAAAACAAATCATCTCGGTGGAGGAAAATTTTTACTTTATTTTCAAAGTAAAATTGATTTAATCAATTATAGAATTGAATTATTTTCTTTTTAGTTGATTCACGTTTATCCGAATATGCACCATTTGATCTTGATCCAGATAGAAGATTAGATAGTAATTCTAAACATGGAAAAACATCATTAAAACGACAATGGGGTATGTTGAATACAAAGGAAATTTCCTCTCTTGAATACTAAATTAAGTTTTAATCAATAATGATTTTACACATGAATAGAAAACTGTGAAGTATTTTGTATAGATTAAATGAATTGTTTAACACATCAAGACTGTTTTATATTAATCCAATGGGAAATAAAGAATGATATTAGATTTATATAGACCTTGATGAATTTTTGACATTGAAAAATCGTATAGATAATTAAAAAATAATCGGTCAAAAAAAAATGAGCTCGAAATTTGGAGTTTACGGATGTCTAGTTTTCACCGAAAATCTCAGTCCAGAACTTTAACCGTCTATTTCTGACTGTTCATATAGATGCTCTTGGCTACTCTGAGTCGACCGATGTTATTCAAGAAAAAAAACATTGAGTTAAACGTTGGAATTTGTTGAAATACCAAAGTCGTAAACTCGAAATTTCGAGCTCACCTTTTTTTGACCAAAATAATCTCGACAAAAATTTCGAATTTGAACTCTAGTATTGTTGATTTTTTTTATTATAGGAATTGTCATTGGATGTATTATTGGTCTACTTCTTCTATTACTTCTTCTAGCTACTATCTTTATTATATTTCGAATTACCAAGTAAGTTATTGTTTCTTTTTAAAATTATTATTGAAAATGAATACGATTAATTCTAGACGTCGACGTGAACGTTCTCTTAAATATTTAAAAAGTGATGATGATCATCGAGAACGTTTAAGTGTACCAAAACCATCATCTAGTAATACTCATCATCATCAAGTAGAACAACCATATTTAGCTTCATCATCACCAGCCATTCTTCCATTAACCTCGAGTAGTAATCATAATCGACCGCATTCGGCATCATCAACAACATCATCTATAATAGTTCATCAAATAAATGATGGTCAATCCGATCGTGAATCATTAATAAAACCAACCGGTCAAATTCAATCACATTCAAATGCAGATATTGATAATTTTTATGAAGAAATAAAAGAACAACAACAACAAACAGCATTAGCTTTAGGTTTAAATACTTCGAAAGGTGATATATTAAATCCATATCTTGAAGCAAAATGTTTTGAACAAAGAAAACCTCTTTTTCAAGGTAATACTCATCCATCTATACAACCAATTCGTGATCATCATGAGGTATTTTATTATGAATGTGACGAATGAAAAAAAAAGTTTTGCATATCACGCTTCCTCTTTGTTTTATTGAGAATGATAATATTATATATTTCTACTAAGTCAGAACTTTCTCTTCCTTTATCGTTGTTTGTTTGTTTATCTCGCCATCTATTCTAGTCGTGCTATTTCTCTTTATTTGTTTGTTTGTTTTTCTGTATATTTATAACTTTTGTCACGCAAAAATAAAAACAAATCAATCTGATTGATATAAACACATGCTTCAATCTTCTTGCTTTTACCTTACTATCACGCACGGCTTCATGTATTTTAGTTTTTAAATTTTATTTTAATATTTATTTCATAAATATCCTTAGAATGATTCGCATTATCAACATCCAATTTCATCCACTGATAGAATATTATCAAATGAACCAATAAAACCTAAGAAGCGACCACCACCAAAAATTCCTTCACAACGAATGGATATACAACATCCCGAACCAAGTGCACCACCTTTACATATTATAGAAGATAATAATAATGAGAATTAAAAAGCATATTAATATATATATGCTTTAAATGAAGTAGAATTATTAGAATGTTTTTGACTTATTTAGATCAAACCTTTTGTTTGACCCTATGTGCAGTGTTATGGTTTACCTTAATACAATTAGATACTAATTGCTAAACGTATTTTTCGTTTTTTTTTGCAGACCTTTTTATATTATTTTGTTGTGCGCAAATGAATTAATTTATTGTACGTCTAGTCGATTTTTAATTATTGTTATCCCAGTTTTGCTACAATGCAATTTTTTATTTAATTTTAAATAAAATTTATTTCTATGTGCTGTGAAGGGGCGGTATAATTTATCTTATTTTTTTCTATAATCATATATAGATTTCAACTAGACAATAATTATCTTATTCACGCGATTTTATCAGATAATATAGATGAAGAATAATTATTGTCAGTTATTTTGCATAATATTATCTTTCAAAGACAATTTATTTATTTTTTGATTCTGAACATGATACTATATAAGATTGATTATCAAAATAAAAAGTTGAATTTAGATGTTTTTTTACATGGTTTGATTAAGAACACTATTGTTTAACATAATAACTTTATCATTAATTGATTAATGTATAATGAAAAGTTTTTTTTCATATTTTTAGAATATTTGTGAAGACTAAATGATTCAAACTAATAATTGCCTTCGTTTAATTCTTATATGACTTAATGAACCAAGAGTACACAACGATACTATATTACTCCTCTTGAATTAATTATGTTATTCATGAGAAAATCTTTAATAATAGATTTTTCTAAAATAGAATATTTATGAAGTATTATCATTATAGTATATAATAATGAATGAGAAGAAAACCCCGAATGAAGTTGTTACATTCGTTCTATTTGCAAGAAAAAAAGCTATTATCTCATTAAATAATGTTTAAAAACATATTTTTTGGAATTTTATTCAAAAGAAGTAGTGTCTTACTGAGCTAAACGTCATTGTAAATAGCATTTTTCAAAAATACATTGTAATAATTAACTGTTAATAAACTGATAATTCATTTGTCTTGGGAAATAATCGTCATTTACAAGCAGCTAAATTCGATCGATCGCACGGACTATTTATTTATTTTGATGAAAGAAAATAGTTATTTTCTTGCATTTCTTATTCAGGTTTTTAGGAATTTATATTGATCTATACAATTTTTCAAATACAAAACAGTCATTTACTTGTTGAAACTAACTGAAATTCATTTTCATTTTGTATGTTATTATCAGCGATGGCTAAAAACTAAATTCACTTCCTTTTTTTTATTCTTAGTAGCGATAACAAAGGTCGTTTTCTTCAATTTTCTTATTATGAGATAAAAAAGAAAGGCCTTGTAAATTTATCCTCGATTCTAAAAATAGTTCGAATTCAAGCATTTATAATGATCTCGTGATGACTTGAATTTTCAATAATTATTTATGGTAGAGACAACAATCATAGTTTATACTTCTATTGACATTTTTCATCTTTTTAAAAGCCAAAGCTACGAACTATCACGCTCAATTGACATCAAGCATTTTGATAAAATTTTGTCGCTCATCATGCACGAAAAATAACTAAATCCATGGAATCAGAATCGTTACCTACATATATAAAATCTTCCAGATCGTTGTTCGGATAAAAGTCAAAATTCTGAAAATGCGCGCTGATAGCTCGATAATAATATAGTACTTAGTTCCAAAGCGTGAGCTCTTAACTCGCTTATAAGTGGTAGAACGTTCAAGCACAATATAGAGAGTACGTCAAGGATCTATGAAAAATTCCAATATTCTCTACAATTCTAAATCTTGTCATTGAAGGTACCGATTTGATTATCGTTAGAGCGTCTGTATTGTAAATTTAATATCTCATGAAAGGACTGAAATTTTAGGTGTTTTGTTTAGAACACTCAGGTCTATAGATGGACAAAGTTTGATATATAATTCCAAATTGTTTTTGATCATATTTTAGTTAATGTTCATATACTTTATTTTTTCCATTATTGTTTTTAATAATTACAATCTGAATAAGCCCCTCTATATGCAGTCAATCGAGCAATATTTATTACCAAAAATAAGAACGCGAAGTCAAAAAAACATATGTTACTCGCAGCTGTGTGTTCGTTCTTTTTTCTTTTTCTATGATTTATTACAATATATAGATATTTTTTTTTGCTATAGTCAACGTCGTCAAAGTGACGCGAGAACAAGAAAAAAAACTAATTTCTTTTTTTTTTTCGGTGCCGTTATTTTTGTCAGTATTATATATACGATAAAAAGATTCAATCAGCAGATCAATTTAGTTTCATGTCGCTTGTTTAGCTAATGTTAATAACCAAAAAAAAAGAAGAAATATGTATATATATATATATATATAGTTTGTTTATATTTTCTTTATCTGTCGAAGTAGGTGGAAGGGCAAGTTCTTAGTAGGTCGTAGCCTATAATCTTTTTTCTATCATATGTTTTTTTGTAATAACACATTCGATAATGAAAGAAAGTAAAGAAGAAAAAAAAAGCGAATATTTTTCTTTAGGCGGATGCTGCGTCGAGGCGAAATGTTTTTTATACTGCTCGATAGAGAAAAAAAACAGCAGAGAAAAAAAAGACAAAAACAACCAAATTACATATAGAAACAGAAAATGTTTTCTTTCTATCCATCGACGACCAGGACCGCAGCTGGAGGGTATGCAAAAGAAAAAGAGGGAGAGAGAGAGAAAAAAATAGAAGGAGACGGGGTTCTCGTTGTTACTGAGTACTGAAAGTATAAAGGCATCGAGAAAGACAGACAAACTTTCAACATTGCGACAGAACACAATCAACAGTCAGTCCTTTTCTTCTCTGTACATTACAACGATAGCAATAGAGAATATGATTATATTTCTAGTCTCATATTCAATATGAATACACTAGATTTGTCTAGCAACAAAAAACGACTAATGCTATCAAAAATAAATCTAGTTAAATTCATCCAAAAATCAGCTCATGTAAGTAAATATTAAATTATACGATAAAGAATTTTATTCTAATATTATGCGATATTTATTTTCTATTGACAAAGAAATCGATAGGATAAAGTTTTCCTTTTTTTTGTTATTAATCATAAGAAACTATCCAATTTTACTTATGAAATGAATCTATTTTGATTATAGTGCAAAACGAGTAATAACAGGATATATTTTTTAATTAAAATAACTAGTCTTTGATGAAAATAGTATGTTTTTAGAAAAGCATATAACTTATTACTTATTGTAGAATAAACCAATGAAATATTTCCTTTTTTTCTTGTTTTTATTCGAATTAAATGTATGTTCTTCAGAAAATATCAGTAAAATATTTATTCTTAGAATAATAGAGTCGATAATGTCATTTGTAGAAAATTTTCTAACACTTTTATAGAAAGAAAAGAGGAATGTGTTGAATTATTTTTATTCAATTAAATATTTCTAGGTACCATAGATACCTAGGAAAATATTTATTATTTCGTTTCTTTTTTCGCTTCGGTATAGATTACATAAATCACGTTTATTTGCGAAGAAAACATTTCTAAAAAGTCTCCATCTATTCATTTTATTAGAATAATAGATTTTTGGATTTTATATCGAAGTAGGATATAGTTTACACAAGAGTAAAAATATATGTATATATTAAACTAGTCAAAAGAAATCTCTATAATCGTTCATTATCAACTTTTAATACTGGAGTTTATAGGACTGGTAAGATATATAAAACATTTCCCTAGCCTATTAATTCGAAATTATCTGATATTAAGTAGAATTTTATGATACTCTTGTGAGACATTGTTTGATACACTTGCTCAAGATTTTTATTGCAAAATGTTCTGTTTTTTTCCTATTTGTAAGATTAAACGAACAATTAAATAAAACAAAAATAGAAAGTTTCATTAGAAAAAACACAAAATCTTTTTCTTGACTAATGTCTTTCTCATAGATATAAACAAACTTTTGTATAATTTATATTTCAATGGGAAATAATGCAAGTATTTACTGTTCAAATTTGTTTTGCGAAGAATTCAAATCTCGACAAGTATTCAATTATTCTTTTTTGTTATTTTATTGCAATTTTTTTATTACATATAAATGTATACTTTATACTGTAAAAAAAGAAAAATCAACCAATTGTTTTTAATCGAGCATCAGCTGGTTTTCTTCTATTGGTTGTTAATATTCAGAATAAGCACTATTTTTCTTCATTCTTGTTTGTGCAAATAGTGCGAGCACAGCTCAATAACTAATAATAGTAATAGTCATAGGGAAGCAAAGAAGAAAAAGAAATAGATGATGAAAATTATAATAGAAAAGAAATGAGAAGGGTTACATGCGCTATGAAGAGTGAAAGAAAGAATGTCTTTGTCAAGTATTTATTTCATCACTCATCAATAATATAATTATTTTCTTTAGAAATGAAATATTATTAAAACTTTAGTTTAATTTTCAAAAACTCAAAGATGTTTAAAGTTATCAATCGAGATATGTTTTTGTATATGAAAAATTTTTAAAGAATGAGATCTGATATAAATAGAGTAACCTTTTACTTTCAAAACGGTGTATTAAAAGACAGATGTGACATGAGCAATAAAAAACTGTTATCTTATAAAAATGTCGAGATAGTATTAGTATAAGAAAAATAATTTCTTTTTTTTTCTTGCAAGAAAAAGAGTAAAAGAAGCTATATCTAATAATAGTCTTAGATAATTTGAATATTGACTTATGTTCCATTGTATCATTCAAATCTTTCTATCGAGAAAAAAAATAAATGATTATACTCGAAGAACCCTAGTAATATATTCGTTGTAACTATCATCAAGTAAAATTTATTTTCTAGTAAAAAATAATCGATCATTTTAAGAGTCGAAAGAAATCTTTTCTATCATAAATACATACTAACTATTTCACTATTGAAAGTTTAATGAGTCTATAGAATACATAGAAGAAGAAAAAAATTATGCTTTGAAAATAGTTCAAATTTATACTTATCTACCTTAAG